AATTATCTATATAATGAGATGGAATCCTCAATAGCTGCAGCACTTAAAATCTTTTACGCAGGATTAGAGTAAATTAATCTAAGAGACCTTAGGCACGGTCAAATATATCAATTCAATGGGTTTGACCTCCTGAGTCCAGAACTATAATTAAATCTCAAATCAGTCAAGAAATGACGGAGCTACCAGCTAAAAGTTTGTACTTGAAAAACAAGAGGGAATCCTCAATAGCCACTGAGAGTAAATTAATCTACGAGACCTATATTTTCATTTTTAATAACGATATTTTTTTTTGTGCCACCAATACCAAGCACGGAGTGTGAGTATACCTGATTTGATTTTGTTACTCATAAGAACCTCTACCAACCTATCCTCAAATTGAAATTCTTTAAGGCATGATTAGAATAAATTAATCTATGAGACCTTGGGTGTGGTCAAATACAATCGGTCAAGAGATGATGGAGCTCCAAGTTAAAAGTTTGCACTTGAGAAAAAAAAAACCTGCAAAAAACTCAGCCATTCTATGAACCATTATGTTGTGGCTAAAATTAAAAAAACACAAGTTAGCCCAAATTTGGAATACAGTGTACAGTTGAGGTCACCTTTTTTTGACTTACAGGAAAAGGATCAGAAGGGAGTTTGTAGGAAGTTTCAGAAGATGGAAGAATCTTATACAGTTGTATAGTTTAAGTAATATATTTATAGTTTTCTCTTGATAGAAAAATAGGAGGCTTTCTTATCAAATGTTGCAAAGAAGTCTGTTTCTGTGGTATCTTATAATAATTTCTAGTTCACCACATCCACTCAATTATTCATATTTCAATTAAATGTAACATTTTCAGAAAAAAGTTTGTAACACACGACCTTCACCTTCTAAAAGCATGCTATCTGTGACAATATAAAGCTTGTCTACATGGTCTTGTAAAATTTAATATCAGATTATGTTATTTCCAAACTGTCCAGTAAAATATCTCTATAATCTGTCAGCACCTCACCACTTTTATATTTTTTTTAAAAATTAAGGTTAATGATCCATAAACCTTGCTTCTTTCGTCATTCTAGGAGTAGGTTAAAAATCTGCTGGCCCATGTGTTTTATCTTTTTTTTTTCATTTTTAAAATCTTACCAGCTAAGACTTAATCCTGATTTTATTGAGTGATATTATTAGTAATATTTGAATGAACTTTCCATGGAGATCTGCTTATATGTGAAATCCATCTTATGATGAGTTACATCTCAGTACAGTAGCAAAAAATTTGAACCAAACCACTTCTAATTCCATGTCTAAAGGCCCAACTTCCCTCAACTCAAATCCATTTTCAAGTTTCTTAGTCTTGGTGCTTAAGCCTAAACGTTGAAATGCACTAACATCATACAATTTACAAGTGGCATTTTTAAATAACAATCACATATTACAATAAAAATCGTCCAGATTTGACACTGTGACAGTTAAATTTTTAAGCGTAACTTAAAAAAGTACAGTATGCAAATACCGCTATAGTTACTCAGTCATATTTCAAATTTCAAGATATTTCATCACCACGTGTAAAGTTACACTCACACATGCTATTAAACTATTTATTAAAATTATAATTACAGTACGGATTTACTTAAAATTTCTTATAACAGATCCAAGAAAAGCTATTCAAATACGGATTTTTTTAAATTAAATACACTTTCTAAAATAATTTCTTTTTAAAATCTAAGTAATTTGCTGTAATATTCTTTGTTACGCCTTAACATCTTACCTTCGTCACTTCACAAGAGTAAAAGGAAATACGTTTGTGTGCGGGGTTTACACAATTGAAACAGACAAGTAGTTCCGGTCTGTCGTTTAAATGCTCACTGCTTGATGGCAGCACCGATACAAGCGTACAGAAGTGTTTGCTAATATTATGGAACAGCTTCCTGGTAGTGGTAGGTTGCGTCTGTAAGGCGGCATCTGCTACTGATAGGCCAAATGGTAAGCGTTGTTGAAACATGATATGAAATTATATATCGTGCTCTTGGTCAATTCTTCATTTACGGATGATGAAAAGTGTTTAAATACTTTTCATGTTTAAAGTATTGTATGTTAATAAAATTAGCTCAAGGACAAATCGTCATCGCGGCTTCGCATTTTCCAATTGGCTACTCTGCTGGCCAGGGGCTGCGGTTTTAAGCGTGATGTCGAGGGAAGAAAACCTTCGGGTAATGTTTACAGTAAAAGCGAAATCTCTTCCACTTTGGATGTATTACAGTGAATAATCAGAGTGCATCTGTGTTGAGAGGATTTTACAAAATCAGCAGGAGCAGGTTGTCCACGGGAGTTGAACTCTAGATGAGATGATTTTTAAGAAATCATGCCGGGATCTGGCGTGGTTCATATGCCTCTGGGCGTTTATCACAGGTACGTTGCAAGTATATTTCTAAGAGTCGTAGTACTAGTTAAGCTCTGGTTAACTAATAGTAGTAATACCGTCTATCGTTTTAACCTTTTAAAACACTATGTAATAAGTTCAATTACGCACTTTGATAATATATATGAGAAATTTTTAGCATCGCTGCAATGAAATCGGTATAGATGCGTAGTATCTAAGCCTTTAATACTTGAAAAAATGCATTAATAAATAAATTCTGATTAATGCACGAGTGAGGGTTATTGCGCGTTTCTGGATTCCTACAAATGATCCTATATTACCTGTAACGCAAATTAGTTACAAACTTGTCAGTATAGGGTAGGAATTAAAATCTAAAACTAGAATACGTCTGTCATTAATAGTAATAGTTGGTAAAATTTTCAATCTCTACATTCTAAAAAGATTCAAAAGTAAAAGTACATTTAATTAATTACTTAAAACAAACGGTGAAGAATGGAAATAAATTAGTGCCAAGTATTATAAAGTAATTATTATTATTTTTTTACGGGTAAATCAAGAATTCTTGGTTTTGAAATACGTACATGGCCAATTTTACTCCAGATAATTCTTTTATTTTTAAGATTTCAATTCAAATACACACGTTCTTAGGGAAAGATTGTTTGTACCAGACGGAGGGCAGTGCTCGAATGTTATACATAAACTAGTTTGTCATTTTAAATCACGTTATTAGGGCTTTAGTGCATAATTAAATCAACTAAGTAAATTTCTGGACCGTTTTTAGGTTATAAATAATGCTGCCTTCGACATTCTCAAGCGTTATAGTGTATGTTTATCTTACCGAGTTCTCAGATAATTAGTAATTGGAACTGCGCTGGTCATGTTTTTTATTTTCATTACGTTAGCTTTTGATATAATTTTTCTGCCCTTTTCAGCATTTATAAATGTTGCTACATCCATTATAATGCATTAAGGTGTTACTGTGTTCTGCTGTAGTGTTCCAGTTATTTTGGTGGGTGTTACGGAAGTGTGAAAAATCATGCCACGATGAAATTGAAAGTGAGAAAATATTATTGAAAAGTTTTAAACACGCATCTTGAACTTACGTCTTATCATGTTATTGATGGATTAATATGAGAATGCTTAATTTTTAATTTATTTGATTGTGTGTTTTTCTGACTTGTGGAGCTTGTGAACCTGAAATAATACTTGAGAACATGTCAGAGTACATCAGGTAGATAATTCATAATATTAACATAACACACGGACAAAAAGGGACTATTTTTATTTGGTTCTTCAAGGCTTTCCCAGCACACCCCACCTTTAAAAACGGAAAAACTTAAACCCATCCTTTATTTTTCCCTTTTTTTAAACGCTTATAAAGTCGCGGCTTTCTCTAATTCCAACGGCATCTCATTCCATAAGCCAAAACAAAAGATGTCTTAATTGGAGGCTGTTATGTCTTTACCACATCTTAAGCTGGTGTCCACTTGTCGTATTGTCTTCAGAATATAGCATAAGGAAATTGTATGTTTTTATTTCATCGATCTCTGGGATAATCTACTTGTAAATTTCAATAATATAGTCATTTACCCTTCTTTTCTTGAGAAAAAATAAATTAAGACATCTTAACCTATCCCCATAAAATAACCCTTCCATCCCTGAAAATATCCTGGTAGCTCTCCTTTGAACCCTTGCCATTAAGACAATGTCCATTCTTAGGCAAAGAAACCATTACACAGTATTTGAAGTGAGGCTTTGTTACAATATTGAAAATCAACGTGACATCTTTATCAAACACCATGAATGGATGCTTCAGGCTATTATTAGTCCTAGTGATAGTCGGAGTTTTCCAGAACAAAATAATAGCTCGTTTCTTAGATTTTTTTCGTTCTAGTTTGTAAGATACGCAGATAGAATGTTTACAGATTACTCCATTTAGTTATGTTTCAGGCATTACACGTTATTACGTTATCTTTTGATCCAGACTTGCTTGTTGACGTACAGTTAAAGTCATAATACCGTATTATACATACGACATAATTTATGTCTTTGATGTAGTTTTAATCTTCAAGAGCCATTGTTTTTGGCCTTAAGGTGTGTTTAGGTATTAAGTGTGTTTTCTATAACCTTATGTTTAAGCACTAATGTATTTATTGTAATGTTGAGTAAAAAGTTTAGAAAAAACGACCTGTATACTCCAGTTATATATATATATAACCAACATTCGCCTTTGCGACTTCATCAGAGTTAATATATATTTTTTTCACGTGTTGTTACCAACTAAACTGCGTAAAATGATTCAAAAGTAATTGAAATTTATAAAATTTTTGCGAAAAGGCAAATTCTACTGTTGTAACGTCATGCACTCCTTTAATTCGTTTTTAAGAAATTAAGGCATATCATGTTTCGTGCGGTAATTATTTATTCAGGCAGCACTCGTAAATAAACATTTGGTAGAGATGACTATATAGCTGTAGAGTTCATTGAATTTCTCTTCAATATGGAGTACAACCAAGGGTACTACTGTTGAATGCTTAAAGTCAGGATGTTGATAATGTACCGAAGTGCCGTTTTCATGATATCGTTAATGTCTGAAGTCGCTGCATTGCAGGACGTGACATATCTTTCCGTATTATTTCCTACATGTTTGATGGGATTGGAGTCCGATGAGCACGCAAGTGATTCCATTTGGACAATTCCCTCTTTTCGAAGGAATGTGTTGACCAGTTTATCACAATTGTGTCAGCTGTTGTCTTCCATTAGGCTGAAGAATGTGTTGACCAGTTTATCACAATAGTGGCAGCTGTTGCCTTTGATTAGGCTGAAGAATGTGTTGATCAGTTTATCACAATAGTGGCAGCTGTTGTCTTCCATTAGGCTGAAGAATGTGTTGACCAGTTTATAACAACAGTGGCAGCTGTTGTCTTCCATTAGGCTGAAGAATGTGTTGACCAATTTATCACAATAGTGGCAGCTGTTGTCTTCCATTATACTGAAGAATGTGTTGACCAGTTTATCACAATAGTGGCAGCTGTTGTCTTCTATTAGGCTGAAGAATGTATTGACCAGTTTATCACAATAGTGGCAGCTGTTGTCTTCCATTAGACTGAAGAATGTGTTGACCAGTTTATCACAATAGTGGCAGCTGTTGTCTTCCATTAGACTGAAGAATGTGTTGACCAGTTTATCACAATAGTGGCAGCTGTTGTCTTCCATTAGACTGAAGAATGTGTTGACCAGTTTATCACAATAGTGGCAGCTGTTGTCTTCCATTAGGCTGAATAATGTGTTGACCAGTTTGTCACAATAGTGGCAGCTGTTGTCCTCTATTAGGCTGAAGAATGTGTTGACCAGTTTGTCACAATAGTGGCAGCTGTTGTCCTCTATTAGGCTGAAGAATGTGTTGACCAGTTTGTCACAATAGTGGCAGAGCCACTTACACCAATATATATTAACATAAATTGTTCTATAATGTGATCCCTATAATTATTGGCATTGACGGTACCATTCTGCAATATGTAAAGAGTTTTATGTCCACCACTGCTTAAATCTGCTTGGCCTAGTAGTTGGTGTGCAGGACTGCGTATTCGAGGATCTATGGTTCGCGTTCCGTTGCCGAAAAAAAAAACGAATTTACCACTTTAGGCCCGTGGCTGCGTTATAAAAATGGCGGTCAAAGCACACTATTTCTTTGCAGTAACCTAAGAGTTGGCGGTGGGTGTTGTTAACTAGCTGCCTCCCCCTTTATCTATCAGTTTAAAATTAAAGATGATTAGCGCAGGTAACCCATGTGTAGCTATGCGCGAGTATCAGAAACAAATAAACTAGCACTACCATGCCAGTTATGTTCCTGTATGAAAACCATGTTTGATCTAGTTCTAAATTCTTTCTAAATAAGTATACACGTTATATGTGTGTGTGAAGAATGAAGTACGACTCATCAGTACAAAATATATATTTATAATTATACGCATCTTATTGATTTACTAGACGTGGTTACGCTTTTCTGTGAATGGTATGCGGCTCACTGGGCATCATGCGTTCAGTTCATCCATCTGAAGCCAGTTTCTAATTCTTTGTACACCGACATGCGTCCACTTCTGGCTGCGGACATCTGATTCAGTCTCGAAGTAGGCTCAAACCAATTGTAATGAGCCATAATTTACAGGTAGTGGTTAACTTCTTCTATTGTGGGCAATGAATGGTCTGCCCTGCTCAGATGTCCAAAAAACCGTACTATTGTTTTTAAAGTAGTTCTGCATTCTGTTAACCAAACTGAGACATTTGTACTCCACTTCTAATAATGTAGTATGATTGTCCGGCTTCTGTTCATTCACCAGGTCCCCACATGAGCGCTACATCTAAATGTCTTCTTTGAAATATATCCAGGATTCGTGGACAAAAAGACAGAAGTGAAAACGTAACACATATTCTATCGTTTAACAAGGTGAACGAGTATCACACAGACAACTGTTAAAATTTTAAGAGGTATTGAGGAATAATTTTATAGAATAGTTTCTGCAATCGCTAAATAGTTAAATGCCCGTCAAAAATTACCAAGCTGATAGTAATGACAGGATATATATGTTTGTTCTTATGACTCATTTTACACTGTTAGTGAAACATCTCACAAACCATTATTTGACAGTTTTTTATGTCCGCTTATAACTGACGAACCGTTATACCAATTGTCACTAAACCTTCAAGTGCCGTAGGGGATCAGCGTTTGGATATGACCCCCCCTTTCCTATGTCACTCATGGGGGTCTGTTTCTTCCCCTTGTGTCGAACTAGTAAGTCTGAAAAAGTCCACAATATTTCCGCTATGACCATATTTGATGTGTTTTTATATAATTTGAATATGATCAAAAGTTTGAAAAATAAACGAATCAATAGGTTTAGAGTTTTTGTAGTACATACACATATATACTAGGAAATAAGTTATCAAAATATGTTTTTTTTATGACAATAGGATAAGATGTCCCTTTTTACTATGAATTTTGAAATTACTTTCTTTACAGAACGTTGAG